ATCCCAGGCTTGCCTGAAGCCTGAGAGTCCCAGGGGAGGTGTGACAGGAGCTAGGAGTGAGTGCAGGAATGTCCCCATGGACCAGAAGAGTGGAGGGATGGAACCATGTCTCACACATGTGCAAGTGAGGAAGGATGTCAACTATCCCTCGGGAACAACCCCTTTTGATAACTGGTATTCTCTTCAGACAAGAATCCCATCTAGCCAGCTATGCAAACATGTGGCCCTCCACTGCGCTTCCTGACAGGATGCAGCAGGGCACCAGAAAAGACCCACTAAGCCACAAGGCCACCTGGACTTGCCCTTCGCTCCTCCACTGGATCAGCCTCCGCCTCCAGCACCAAAACCATGACTTTCTCCCCTTATTCTTAAAAGGACATCTCTGTTTGTTTCGATGGGAAGCTGGCCTGAGAGTTGTTCTTCCTGGCATCTCCTATTCTCTGGCCAAAGAACCACATTTCTTTCACGGCAAAGTTGTTTCAGTTTTGCTACTGGTTCCACAATTCTGAGAGGGAGAAAGAAGCATTGTAGGTCAGAAATTGGTAACATGACCACCCTCAGTTTTGCTTGTCCTGTCCTTCATGTAATTGGGTTCATGAGGCTAAAAACCAGGCCTATTGCACATCACATCCTGGAGACCAGCAGGGTGTCCTGTCTATTATGGGGCATGCCACAGTATGGATCCCTTCCAGTCGACGCAGTCATACTGCAGGGTTTTTTGCTGTTATAAACAAGGCTGCTATGAATGTTCTTCCTTATGGGTTGAATTGTGTCCTTCAAAAGCATGTTGAAGGGCTGGGATTGTGGCTCAGCGGTAAAGTACTCACCTAGCATGGGCGGGACCCGGGTTCGATCCTCAGCACCACATAAAAATAAAATGCATTGTGTTGTGTCCATCTACACCAAAAAATAAGTATTAAAAAAAAAGAAAAGAAAAAAAGCATGTTGAAGTTCTAACTCCCCTGAAACCTGTTGATAAATATGGTCCTATTTGGAAATATAGTCTTGGCAGATATTGCCTCGTTAAGATGAGGTAATGCCATTGCCAAGTTAAGATGAGGTAATGCCAGAGCCAGGCAGGCCCTGTCTGGAGACGGATGCCAGCTGACTCACTCTATGACATGCAGAGCAGCAGTTTCAGATGAAGCCTAACCCTGAATTACTACATTTTGTAAAGCAGTAGTTTGCCATGAGCTGCTCCATTTTGAGGAGCAGTGACAGGTGGAACAACTCTATACCTTGTTTGTACTAGTGCACAACCACCATCTGCCCAGCACAGCCCTAAGGTACAGATTGATAAATAATTTATTGGTATCAACTTATCATGGGGCACCTGGACACATGGACACCCCAAGCTATATCAGAAAACTGAAGTGGGCTGGGGATGTGGCTCAAGCGGTACCACACTCGCCTGGCATGCCTGAGGCCCGGGTTCGATCCTCAGCACCACATACAGACAAAGATGCTGTGTCCGCCAAATACTGAAAAATAAATATTAAAGTTCTCTCTCTCTCTCTCTCCCTCTTTCTCACTCTCTCTCACTCTTTCTTTAAAAAAAAAAAAAGAAAGAAAACTGAAGTGGGAGCTTATCAATCTCACCAGACACAATCCCCTCCCTTGAGATCTGTAAATGGAGGAGCCCCCCACCCCTACACTAACCCCATCACCTGGTCACTTGTCACAAATCTGGCCCAGGAAAATCCCTACAGTGAGCTTCAGTTCTGGTTCCTTTGGGCTTCAACACCGCACATTTTCTCCTGCCTGTGACAACCAGGCCCAGACCACCCCAATTGACACTGAGACTGAAACTGCAGTCAGACCCTCAACCTTGGCAACTCTGGGGAACTGGTTGGATAAAAACCTCAGTCCAGGGCTGTGGCTGTGGCTCAGTGGTAGAGGGCTTGCCTGGCAGGTAAGAGGTACTAGGTTCAATTCTCAGCACCATTAAAAATAAATAAAGATCTGTCGACAACTTAAAAAATACTTAAAAGCATCCTGTAATTGTGTGGTGCCTGGACGCTTTCAGACTTACTCTGTGACATATATAAAAATGTGTGTGTGTGTGTGTGTGATAATTGTGTGAAATATAATGTGTGATTTGAGAGTTATTAGAAATTAGACTGGGGGGACTGGGGTTGTACCTCAGTGGTAGAGCACGCGCCTAGCACATTCAAGGCCCTGGGTTCGATCCTCAACAACACATAAAAATAAATAAATAAAATAAAGGCATTGTGTCCAACTACAACTAAAAACTAAAATATTAAGAAAAAATTAGACTGGGGAACTGGGGTCATGGCTCAGTGGTACAGGGCTCACCTAGCACAAGTGAGGCACTGGGTTCGATCCTTAGCACCACATAAAAATGAAATAAAGGGAGGGCTGTGACTGTGGGTCAGTGATAGACTGCTTGCCTAGCATGTGTGAGTCACTGAGTTCAACCTCAGTACCACACACATAAATAAATAAATAAATAGATAAATAAGTAAATAAAATGTTTCATGTCCCTCTATAACTAAAAAAAATATTTTTAAAAAACAAATTAGATTGGAATGGAATAAAAGAACTTGAGTTTGCCTGGGTTATGACTATCAGGTGACCCTCAAGTATTGTTGAATTGCCACCACTGAAAGTGGTGTAGCTTGTGAATTCATTGTTATTCAACAAATTCTGACATTGTGGAAAAATGCAAATGGTTTTGGTTTCTGTTGGAGGCACAGCTTGCTCATGGCATGTATGCATACAAGAAAAGGGAAATTTGGACACAGACTCAAAGGAGAAAGTACCACATGGAGAAGGAGCAGACTGAAGTAAGGCCAGGGGTCTTCCAGAGGTGGGAAGAGTCAGGGAAGGGTCCTGTAGGCTTCAGAGAAAACACATCCCTGGGGCTGGGGATGTGGCTCAAGTGGTAGCCCGTTCGCCTGGCATGCGTGCGGCCCAGGTTTGATCCTCAGCACCACATACAAACAAAGATGTAAAACTAAAAAATAAATACTAACAATTAAAAAAAAAAAAACACATCCCTGCCAACACTTTAATCTCAGACTTCTAGCCCTGGAACCATTAAATCCATCTCTGTTGTGCCACCAACACTGCTATAGCAGCCCTGGAAATATTCAGATATTTTATAAAACCTTTTGGTTTATAACTTTTTGTTTCTCATAGAGAAATACCTAGGATTGGGGACTGGAGCTGTGGCTCAGTGGTAGCGCACTTGCCTAGCATGTGTGAGGCACTCAGTTCGATTCTCAGCACCATGTATAAATAAATAAAATAAAGGTCCACCAACAACTAAAAAAAAAAAATTAAGTCCTTTTCTGTGCAATTCAATATAAAAAAAAAAGAAAAGAAATACCTAGGATTGCAATTTCTAGGTCCTAGAGTATCTGTATCTTTAAGCTTTTCTGTTGTTTTGCAGTACTGGGGATGAGTCAAGGGCCTTGGGTATGCTAAGCAAGTGCTCTGCCACTGGAATGCATCCCCTACCCCGTATGCTTAAATTAAAAGAAACTGCTAAGCAGTTTTTCAAACTAGTTGTCTAGTTTACACTTCCACAAACAGTAGATAGCTGATGCAATTACTGTACAAACTTTCCCAAATATGTATAGTCAGTTCTATTTCAGCTCTGCTGAATGGGTGAAATGATATCTCATTGTGGTTTTAATCTGTACTACCACACTACCAGTAGAGGCAATAATCCTTCATGCAATTAGTGTGTGTGTGTGTGTGTGTGTGTGTGTGAGTGTGTGTTTAATTCTAGTAAAATCTTTTTATTATTGATTTGCAAAAGTTCTTTATATATTCTGGGTATCAGGCCTTTGTCTGGCACGGGGCTTTGAATATTTCCCCCACTGTATGGCTTTCCTGTTTTGTTTTTATTATTATTATTGAAAGTGAAAGCCTTTTTAACTTAAAACTCACTAACAGGCATGGTGGCACACCCCTGTAATCCTAGCTATTCAGGAGGCTGAGGCAGGAAGATCACAAGTTAAAGGCCAGCCTGGGCAACTTAATGAGAACCTGCCTAAAAATAAAACAAAAAGAGTCTAGCCAAGTATGGTGGTGCACACCTGTAATCCCAGCAATTTGAGAGGCTAAGGCAGGAGGATCACAGGTTCAAGGCCCAGGAAAATTGCCACAGTGAGGAACCTCCCATTTCCTGTGCCCATGGGGTTTCAGCAGAGTGCAGCTTTCCCTGCCTGTGATGACCACGCGTGGCCCGCTCCCACACCTAGAGCTGGCACCGTACACGGTGAAACTGCCGCCTCTCTGGACCCTCGGCTTTGACAACCCTGCCGACTGGAACTGGTCGTTAAAGTCCTTACCTGACCAGTTCCAGCGACTCTTCGCGTTCATCTCAGTGCTCTGGGCTCAGTATTCCGTAGCCTTGCGGCTGCTTTCTTTCTGTGGCCCATTTATATGTCACTGTGGGAAGTGGGTGTGCCTAGAGGACGACAGCCGGCTTACGCCACCAGACAACTCGGGAGCGCTCAGCGAACCTCCACGGCGGCCCGGGTCGAAGGCAGGCTCGCTCGGTCGTGGCCCTCGGCCCGCGCTCCACCTCGGTGGGCAGCGGCGTCGCCCTCCTCGCCCTCCTCTTCCGAAGGCTTTACGGGGCCCAGGCTCCCACAGCCCCACACGACAGAACTTCGGAAAACCAGAGTCAAGCACCTGAAGTGGACTCTGCGGGAGCCACGGCGTGCCTGAGAACCGCGCCGAGCAGCTCGCCCGGCTTCCCTCTCCCTGCACCGCGGAAGGACCGGAGCAGCAGAAGGGAGCGAGCCCGCAGCTCCGACACGCTGTGCCGCCGGGCGGGCCATAGAGCCCCGCCCTCCGCTTTGCTAGAGCGGCCCGGAAGTGTCTCGCGCCCCCGTCCCCGGCCCCGGGGTCGCGAACCATAGAGCCGAGCGCTCCTCTTTCCTAGAGAGGCCCGTGAGAGTCTGGGGCCACACGGAGGTCGCGCCCAGCTTCTGGCTTGCTGCAGCGGACCGCTCCAGGTGCGGGGGCGTGGGGACGCGGGGAGAGGGCACTGGGACGACATCCCCGCGGTGGCGTCGCGAGCGGAGACCCGGCCCCTCGGTGTGGGAGATGGCCCTACGAGTTTGCCTTGATCGCCGGGCGGACACGGCCGCGGGGTGCGAAGGGCCGTTTATCCGGAAGAGGGGAGCCGGGCCTGGGCAGCGGCAGCACGTCAGAGCCCAGGGGCCTCTGAATACTCGTGAGGGAGCGCCCCGCTCCCTCTACCCAGCTTGTCGAGGTGGACCGTGCACTCTCCCTGGGGCAAATGTGTGAGCACGTCGCCAATGACGACGTTGTCGCCATTGTTTTTTCAGGTAGTGCCACAGCCCTCTTTACGTGGTGCACTGCTTCTACCTGGTCCTCCTGCAGGGGAGGCTGAGTGTAGCCCCTGTGCTAACGCGGCCCTTCTTAGTGGACAGGTTTAGACTCTAGTTTTTGGCTTGGGCAGCTGCATTTGTAGGCTGGATTTCCTTTGTGAGGTGAAAATGATTAGCTCTTGCAGGGACGTTGTGAATATTCTGGGTTGAGTAGTGCGGGGTCCCAACTGCCGTGTCCTGTGCCTGCGGGTATTTCTCCTACCTAATATAATCTTGAATCTGTTAGTTTAGGATTTACATACGCTCTCTTTTTTTTGTCTTTCTTCTTGGTTCTCTTCCTTTTCACCCACTTCCCTACCAACTCCTGCTCAGACGTCACTTCCTCTGAGAAACCTCCCCTCTTATCAGGACCCAGGTGGGCCTCTTTTCCACCTGCTCACGGGGTCATTTCCCTAGCCCCTTCACACCTACTGTCATTGATACTTCAAACCATCAGCATCCTAATGGTGGGGTCCACATGATCCTTAAGGTCCTAAGGATGTGGCAGTCACTGGCCTTCCCTCCCCCTTCCCTTCAGGGAGCTGTGGCTGGGACCTCCCCTCTGGCTGATCAAGGAGGAGGAAGCAGCGATGTCTGCCTTAGGGACTGCAGCTCCATACCTGCATCATCCTGCTGACAGTCACAGTGGCCGGGTCAGTTTTCTGGGGCCCCAACTCCCTCCAGAGGTGGCAGCAATGGCCCGGTTTCTGGGAGACCTGGACAGGAGCACATTCAGAAAGTTGCTGAAGCTTGTGGTTAGCAGCTTGCAGGGGGAGGACTGCCGAGAGGCCATGCAGCGCCTGGGTGCCAGTTCCAGCCTGCCAGAGGAGCAGCTAGGTGCCCTACTTGCTGGCACACACACACTACTCCAGCAGGCTCTCCGGCTTCCCTCTCCCAGCCTGAAGCCTGATGCCTTCAAGGACGAACTCCAGGAGCTCGGCATCCCCCAAGACCTGGTTGGGGACTTGACCAGTGTGGTTTTTGGTGGCCAGCGCCCCCTCCTGGACTCTGTGGCCCAGCAGCAGGGTTCCTGGCTTCCCCACATTGCTGATTTTAGGTGGAGGGTGGATGTGGCAATTTCCACCAGTGCCCTGGCCCGCTCCCTGAAGCCAAGCATCTTGATGCAGCTGAAGCTTTCAGATGGGTCAGCATATCTCTTCGAGGTTCCCACAGCCAAGTTCCAGGAACTGCGGTACAGTGTGGCGCTGGTCCTGAAGGAGATGACAGATCTGGAGAGGAGGTGCGAGCGCAGACTGCAGGACTGAGCCTCCCTTGTCAGCACTGCAGCTGGTACCAGAATACAACTTGCATTTCCTCTAATTGGATGCTAGACTGCATGTCACCCCTTCCCTAGGTTTTTTGTTTGTTTGTTTCTGAGTGTGGTAAAGTGACAGTCTGGGGTCCAAATCAGGGCCCTCTGAATATGCCTTTGCTCAGCCTGACCCCACTAAGCATCTGGGCCCTTTTTCTTGTTTGCTTTCATAAATGCTATTTTTAGTGTGGGCACTTTTGTCTGTCTTAAATCCCTGCCCTTGTGGGGCTGATATCGTTGTGGGTTGGGAAGAGGGGGAAACATTACAAAATGCCATAGTAAACAGTGGGTACAGCTTATCAAGGGGTGACAAATGTGTACTTAGTTTTGTGCAAGGTGGGGTGTAGGGTGTGAGGGCATGCTTGCCCCTATAAGCTCTATCATGGCTGGGCTTCCTGGAGAACATGGTATCTGAGCAGACTTGAAGGACAGGAGTTAGGGGAATGAAGTCCAGTGGGGGACCAGCTGGTGCACAGGTGATGAGTAGAGAGAGACCATGTATATTGGATGTCATGTGATTCCAGCCAAGTTGGAGGAGGTCATTGGAGGGAGGTAAAGCTGGGGAGGGTACACAGGTCAGGTCTGAGAAATTCTGCTCAAAGGATTGTGGTTGAAGTCTAAGCCAATGGGGGAATCTTTGAGGGTTTTCAACAGAGGAAGGATGTACTCTGGTGGTTGTTTTAAAAGGATAACACTTCTATTATTTAAAAGCATAACATTATCCAGGGGTGGTGGTAAATACGTGTAATCCCAGGCACTTGGGAGGCTGAGGCAGGAAGATTGCAAGTTCAAGGCCAGACTCAGCAAGTTATTGAGACCTTTTCTCAAAATTAAAAATAAAAAGGATGGGGATGTAGCTTAGTGATAGAGTGCCCCTGGGTTCATTACCCAGTTCCATGAAAATAAGTAAGTAAAAGGATAATACTGCTGCTGTGTTTAGAGTAGTATGTAGGGGAACAGGGAGGAGGTTGAGAGTCCACTGTGAGGGGTGCTGTTGTAAGGTGGAGCTGCTGGATAGGGTAGGGGGCCTTTCTGAGTGCCTCCAGGGTAGCTATTGGGGGGTGGCGGGGGGCGCAGTGTATGGCCAGCTTGTAGTTCTCAGAATAGCCATTCTCTGGCTAGGGGTCTTAGGGCTGTCAGACTATCTGCTTGAGGGGTCCCTGCTTCCTGCACTTTTTTAGTCTACATCTGGTTGGTTCTCTGCTGAGAAACCAGTTCATACATCTCATAGGATAATCAGGCCTAAGTGCAGGAACTTCTGAGAACAGCAAATAAACTTTGCTGTTCCAGGCCAGCCTGTTACCCACATAGGCTGTTTGAAAAATGCTTGGTTTCTGCCATCTCAGCAAATACCTTTTCTTCTCTTGAGTGAGAACTACAGCTGTGGCAACTTAGGTGTGGGCCACAGGGAAAGGAAAAGGCTGCCTTTTGAGGACAGAGGGCTGCCAGGGAGGCTGCTGTGTTTCTAGAGCTGGAGGATTCAGAGGCTTGGCTCAGCTAAGGGTGCAGAATGCCCCTGTGTCCTTCAGCCTCAGCTGGGTCCCCCAGGACCACTGGCCCACCTAAAAGGGAACAAGGAGATCCAGACCCGCAAAAAAGGATGTACACAAGTAAGCAGAGTGGCCATGCCAACCTTATCCAGTGACAGAGCTTTTTATGTCACATACTTCTGATCTCAACTATTAGATGTGTTGGAGACTATGTACTCATGATACATTTGAAAACAAAATAGGAATGTAGAAACAAAATTTTTTTTAAAGAGAGAGAGAGAGAGAGAGAATTTTTTTAGTATTTATTTTTTAGTATTTGGTGGACACAACATCTTTGTATGTGGTGCTGAGGATCGAACCCGGGCCGCACGCATGCCAGGCGAACGCGCTACGGCTTGAGCCACATCTCCAGCCCGAAACAAAAATTTTTTAATTAAGTCCCTCCATACAGTGGCACTGAGGCCAAAGGATCCCAAGTTTGAAGCCAGCCTGGCAACCTAGTGAGACCCTGCATCAAAATAAAATTTTAAAAATGGCTGGGAATGTAGTTCAGTGGTGGAGTGCGCCTGGGTTCAATACCCAGTACTGGAAAGAAAAAAAAAAGTCCCTTTGCCCACATGTAAAGCATCTTGACACTGCTATGAGACTATCTAACCATCCACATGGCTCTGTGGTAAAGTTCAATCCCCAGTACTAAAAAACAAAAACAAAAAGAACAGAGAAAAAAAGGTGCCAGGCAAAGGAGTCAGTGAATTCTAGGTACACCACTTCTGGACTTCTAACATGAGCCCAAACACATTGGCTTCACTTGCTTTATCTTTTCAAGCTTTTTCACGAAAACAAACTTACAGCCCTTACCTCCACTGGCCAGGGCTCTAGGCACACACTGAAAGGGCAGAGGCAGAGGAGTCAGGGGAGCAGGAAATACCATGTTCCACCTCACAGAGGGGCTTTGGTGTACCCTGCAGAGAACTGACCTTTCACTTAGCAGTCTTCCTGTCTGCTTCTTAAGAAGGGAGAGAAACTGTTAAGGAAAACTGTATTCAGGATGTAATGCTTTGTAAGGTCAACTACCCAGGACCACCTCAGAAGGCAGAGGGGAGATGGCAGCCCAGGCACATGGGGACATATAGGCCATGAAGCTGGTGGGGGAGTAGATGGATAAGAAAACTTGAGTTTAAGGGGACTTCTGGTGAAACTGACCTATTAGGGTTCTTGTTAAAATGGGACAGTGCATAAAAGAACATGGAAGCTGGAAAGTTGTTGTGGTGAGCAAGCTATGCCATTAACACAGACTGCTCATATTTGTAAATTCTACCATATCAGAATTTCTTGAATAAATTCACAGGCTACATCAGTTTTTTCATCACCTTTAATTTACTGATACTTATGGTGTGACTGTGGTAATCACAAATTATTCTGTTCCAATTTTAATTACTAATATCGTTAACACCAAAGTGGATTTATAAATTACAGAACTGTTAGGGAAGGGCTAACCATGGCCTCAGAGTTTGTTTATTGCAGTGCTGGGGATGGAACCAAGAGCCTTGTGCTTGCCCCGTAAGCGCTCTCTACCCATGAGCTATATCTCCAATCAACCCTTTTTTATTTTAAGACATGTCTAAATTGGCTAGGCTATTATTAACTTGCAATCCTCCTGCATCACCCTCCCGAATCGTGCGCTTTTTTCTTTTTAACATTTTTAGTTATTAATACAATGCCTTTATTTTATCTGTTTATATATGGTGCCAAGAGTCTAACCCAGGGTCTCGAATGTGCTAGGCGAGCGCTCTACCGCTGAACCACAACCCCAGCCCCAGCCCTGCCGTCTTTTTGTAAGGTTTATTTTTTGCAGCACTGGAAATGGGTCCCCAAAATCCAGGCCAGCGCTGCACACTGAGCCGCAGCACATCCCCAGGTTGTGCATAGCCAATTTGGGGCGTCAAGGTCATCCCTTAGCTTCATCTTATTTTTACTTCCCTGTAACCCCGCCGTACTACCTCCTTCATTTTACCAAGTGCTACCTTGAACTAACCTATTGACACTGTCGGGAGACTGCGGAGATGAAGCACCTTTAGCGCGGAACCTGGCGGGCTGAAGCCGCGGGTGAGCCAGGACCGCCCTTCCCCTCCCGCAGTCCGCGGACCACCGATGGCTTGGCTCCGTGGAGTCCTAGACCAGCCCCGGAAATGCGTGGGGCGGGGCTTCATCCCGTTTCCGGCTCGGTCTCCAGGGAAGGGCTGCCTGCGCATGCGCAGCTAGATCGTCTCGCCCCCAGGCCCCGTCTCCGGCTGGTCGGCGCACTACGCTGCTGCTAGCTGCCGAGCTCGGTCTTGGGGCCCGACGCTTCCTGCAAGCCGGCACCGAGGTGAGGCTCTTCGTGGCTCCTCCCGCAGTGCAGGTAGCCGGCGGCGGCCGGGCCGGCAGCTGAGAGGGTGTCACACGAGAAGCCACGCACTAAGCGAACGAGTTCGATGATTGCTGGACGCGCCGGCAGGCAGGTTCCGGCCAAGGGCTCTAGTGATGCTGGGGACACTGGGGGAGGGGGCACAGGCGGCTCTCAGAGCCTGTCTGGGGCGCGCGCCCGCGTCCGGCCACCCGAGAGGCGGGGGTGAGACCGGGGCGTCAGTCCACGCTGGGGCTGGGTCCTCGAAGCCCCGGGTAGCGGGAGGCCTCAGGGCGCGGCACGCCAGCCTCAGGCCCGAGATTGGACGGCCGGAGCTGCAGCTCCCGCCCCGCCGGCCCTCCTGCACACTGGCGGGAGCGGTCCTAGGGTGTGGAGAGGGTACACGCTGGCCCCAGGAGGCCTCTGCGAGAATGCAGGCTGCCTCCTTCCTCTGGTCGCGTCCCCGCTGTTCTTGCCGAACACGCCCAAGTCTCCCGAGGGAGAGCGGGGTGGCCGCAGACCGTGGCGCCCCCTGCTTTCTCTCGGATTCCGTGGCGGTCGCATCGGGGGATGGCAGCCGAGTCCGGCCGGGAGACTTGACGTTCCTCCCCGCCATCGCAGTGGGAAGCCGTCTCCGGACCTGTGAGCTCTGAGGTGGGGGAAGCCGAAGAGTTGATAATGTGGACCCACGTCCTTCCGCAGGGGTCGTGGCTCTGAGCTTAGTGGGTCCTGGCTCCACAGCCCCTCGGACCGTGAATCCGCATCCAGGAGCGCGCCGGGCGGTCCCAGGGCGCGATGCCGCTGACTTTCCAGGACGTGGCAGTGTACTTCTCCCCAGCGGAGGGGCAGCAGCTGGGGCCCCAGCAGCGGGCGCTGTACCGGGATGTGATGCTGGAGAACTATGGGAACGTGGCCTCCCTAGGTGAGAACTACATCTCCCTCTGGATTCTGTAGCGGGGGTGGGGCAGGGGGAGGGTGTCCCTCTCTAAGGGGGCTCTTGGGCTGCTTTGGCTTTTTGGATCCCAAAAAGAAGGTCCTGCCCTCATCCCCGGGTACCAGTCTGATCTCTGCTGAAGGAAGACTGGCCGTGAGAGAGCCTTGCTGCCCAATTCGAGGGACTTCGTTCCCTTTGCCAGTGGCCCAGTGGTGGTGTTCCTCCCCCGCCGCCCACAGGAGAACAGGATGAATTCTTCCTAAAAACAACAACAACAACACTTAAGCCCCTGGCTTTCCCTGACCAAGCATGGCAGCAAGCAGGCACTTCTCACCTGGCTTGGGAGACCCGGTGGGCAGAGGCCACACAGGCTCACCCAGGTTTTCACCCTCAACAGGATTCCCTGTCCCTAAGCCAGAGCTGATCTCCCAGCTGGAGCAAGGCGAGGAGCTGTGGGTCATGGATCTTCTGGGGGCTGAAGAATCAGAGGTCTTGAGAAACTGCCGAACAGGTGAGAATGGGCGGGAGGCTATCCTAGGAACCCCCTCCCAGTTCTACCCTCATTGCAGCAGTGAGGGCGGTTGGGTTGTTGTGCTTAGTCCATCCTCTCCAAGAGCAGATGCAGTCACCACAGACATGTGGCATGTGCTCCTTGTTTACAAGGGCTTCCCTTACTGCTCCATTTGCTTTACTCTAGAAAATGTATGCAGTGCCCAGTGCCCGTTGTAAGCGTTTTGTGGCACCTTCATTCTCTTCTTTACATAATACTCTTTCTTGCTGGCTTTCTTTTGACAGTTTCTATGGGTTGCATGTCATGTCCTTTTCTTCTTCACCTTTTCTTTCCTCTACCTCAGTTTGGTCAGTAGTATTCTCTCTCTTTCCTTCTTGAGACCTGTGTCCTCATGTGCACATGCTTTTGCTCTCTCACTATCAGTGTGTTGTGGGCTGGTCTTGAATTTATGGACTCAAGCTTCCTACTGCTTCAGCTCCTGAGTGAAGTCACAGTTCCTGAGTCAATAGTATTTTTTTTTTTTTTTGGTACAGGGGATTAAATCCAGGGGCACGCAACCACCGAACCACATCTCCCCATCCTATTTTGTATTTTATTTAGAGACAGGGTCTCACTGAGTTGTTTAGTGCCTCACTTTTGCTGAGGCTGGCTTTGAACTCACAATCCTCCTGCCTTGGCCTCCTGAACCACTAGGATTACAGGCATGAGCCACCGTGCCCAGCAATAATATATTTTTAAATGTGTACTTTTTTCTGTTGGATCTAGCTTCTCTACCTCAGCTACTGAGGCTTGTTCTGCTTTCTACCTTTTTCTTCTCCTTCCTCTCATTTTTTTATTATTTTATTGCTCTACACTGTCAGAACATGTAATTCCTTTACCCTTTACAATTACTCCTAGTCCCACCTTTGATGTTGTTTTTTGCTGTTAAGTATATAATTTTTTTTTACCTTTTAGTTAATTGTTGAACCTTTTACCAGAAATTTTTGCATCATTTCTCTGTTGGCTGGAGCTTGTCTTCCAGTTACTCAGAAAGACTCTTGTAAATAATATGCCCCAAGTTTATGCACATTCAAAACCACCTGTTTGAAGCCTTTTGCTTCTGGCAGTGGGTGCTAAAATTGTTGACTTGCGATGCTTCTTTTTATAGACAGTTGGAGTTATAAGACTGAAAGCATGGCTGTAGTTGCATTTTGGAAAATTTTAATGTTATATTTTTGTCATCATTTAGTCCAAGATATTATGTTTTGTGATTTCTTTGACCCAATGATTAGTTGGATGTGTGTTACTTTTCAAAACAGTTGGTACTTTCCTATTTCTTATTGTTGTTGACTTGTCATTTAATTCTACCAGGGTCAGGGAACCTATTCTTGTATAACTTCATTCTTCTCGTTTTTGCTTGCTCTTATTTTATGACTCTAGGGTCTCTCCCAGTAAGTATACTACATGCATGTAAAAAGGGTGGGTTCAATGGGCTGGGGCTCAGTGGAAGAGCACTTGCCTAGCGCATTCGACGTGCTGGGTTCGATCCTCCGCACCACATAAAATTAATTAATTAAAAATACTTTCTTTATTTTTTTAAGGAGAGAGAGAGAATTTTAATATTTATTTTTTAGTTTTTGGCGGACACAACATCTTTCTTTGTATGTGGTGCTGCGGATCGAACCCGGGCCGCACACATGCCAGGCGAACACGCTGCTGCTTGAGCTACGTCCCCAGCCCTAAAGATTTTTTTTTTAAAAAGGGATGAGTTCAAGTAGCAATTAGGTCAAGGTGCTTCATGGTACTATTTATATATCCCCCAGCCCTTTGCTCATTTTATGTATAGTTATTTTATTTATTTATGTATTTATTTATTTATTTTTGGGGGGCCAGTACTGGGGATTGAATTCAGGGATACTCAACCATTGAGCCACATCCCCAACCCTATTTTGTATTTTTTAGAGACAGGGTCTCACTGAGTTGCTTAGCACCTCGATTTTGCTGAGGCTGGCCTTGAACTTTTTAATTTTTTTTTAGTTGTATATGGACACAATACCTTTATTTTATTTTTATGTGGTGCCGGGAATCAAACCCAGTACCTCACTCATGCTAGGTAACTGCTCTGCCACTGAGCTACAAACGTGGCCCTGGCCTTGAACTCTTGATTCTCCTGCCTTAGCCTCCTGAGCCCCTGGGATTACAGGTGTATACCACCACACCCAACAGTGTAGTTATTCTTTAGTTACTAAGAGAAGGTGTTAAAATACCCACATGTGATTGTGGAATTGTCTTTAATTTTCTCAGTGTCTGGTTCATGTACTTTGAAGCTGTGTTATTTGTATTATTTTCACTTCTAATCATCATTTTTAGGGATAAGAGGATCCCTTATCATCTCTGGTAATATATTTGGTTCTGACTATATTTCATCTGATATGTCATAGCAGTTCTAGCCTTAGCCTTATTCTTTTTTTTTTTTTTTTCTTTTTGGTACCGGGGATTGAACTCAGAGGTACTCAACCAACCCCCAAGCCACATCCCCAGTCCTATTTTGTATTTTATTTAGAGACAGGGTCTCAATGAGTTGCTTAGCAACACTGGCTTTGAACTCTCTGTCCTCCTTTTTCAGCCTTCCCAGCCGCTAGGATTACAGGCATACACCACCGATTCTAGCCTTAACTGTTAGCATGGCATATATTTTTTCGTCCACTTATGTCAACCTCTGTCTTTACACTTAAGATCTTCCTAATAGCATTACAAATAAAAGGTAAGGTCTTTTTTTTTTTTTTAATCCATCCTAACAATCCTTATCTTTTTTTTTTAACTTTGTTTTATTTATTTATTTATTTTTATGTGGTGCTGAGGATCGAACCTAGGACCTTGCACGTGCCAGGTGAGCACTGTACCACTGAGTCTTTTTAAAAATTTTTTATTGTCATAGAAGTATAACATGCCTTTATTTTTATTTTTTTAGTACAGTGCCTCACCTGTGCTAGGCAGGCACTCTGCCACAAAGCTATAGCCCCAGCCCCTTATCTTTTTTTTTTTTTTTTTTTTTTTTTAAAGAGAGAGAGAATTTTTTAATATTTATTTTTCAGTACTTGGCGGACACAACATCTTTGTTTGTATGTGGTGCTGAGGATCGAACCCGGGCCGCATGCATGCCAGGCGAGCGCGCTACCGCTTGAGCCACATCCCCAGCCCAGCCCCTTACCTTTTAATTGTAGTGCTTAATCTATTAATATTTAATGTCTCGTTTTGTGTGTGTGTGTGTGTGTGTGTGTGTGTGAGAGAGAGAGAGAGAGAGAGAGAATGGGGATTGAACCCAGGGCCTTATGTGTGATAAGCAAGCACTCTACCACTGAACCACATCCCCAGCCCTTTTTTTTTTTTAATTTGAAACAGGGTCCTTTTTATTTCTCTTTTTTGCCTTTCATATTATAAATCTCAACCATCCCTTCCATCCTTTATGGTAAAGTTATATGTAATATATCTGTGTACATTTGAGACAATATTATAATTTTCTTTTTAAATTGTCATAGATGATTAACAGCAGAGTTATGTCCTGATGAACCAATCATAAGTTGGAAATCACTTAGTGCATCTAACCTACCAAACATGCCAGCTTAGCAGCACAGCACACTGGAGAGTACAGTTGTTACCCTGTGATCTTGTGCCTGCCTGGGTGCTGTGACTTCTGCCACTGCCCAGCATTGCAAGAGAGATCATAGTGCCCAAGAAAAGATTAAAAATTCAAAATCGGAAATAATATAGTTTCTATTGAATATATATCACTTTATGCTGTCATAAGATTGAAAAAGTCTTATGCAGAACCCTGGGAAGTTAGTGCTGTACTTTGAATCTGCATTATCCCTCAAAGGTCAACGTGTAAAAGGCTAAACTGAGGAGCCATTGGGAGGTTGGGCTTGGGGGAAGAAGCAAGGTCAGTGGGGGAATGCCACTGGAGAGTCTCTGGGACCCACTTCATCCTGTCTATTTTGTGCCTGGCCGCCATGGAGTGAACAGGCTGCCATGCTAGGCTCCTGCCACAATGCGTACTGCTGCCACAGGCCCAGAGCACAGGCCAAGTGACTATGGGCTGAGACTTCTGAAACTGTGGTCAGAATAAGTGTCTCCTCCATTTACCTATCTAAGGTATTTCATCACAGTAATGAAAACCTAACAGTTGAGGAACCATCTGTATGTAGTTTATGAAAAAATAAAAGAAAAAAAATAGACTTTTTGCTGCTTTGACATGTAAGGAGCTTAGAAGTTGCTGCGGGATTCTAACAAGTGAAGAACTGAATAAACTGGAAAATCAGTGACTCTTGGATCAATCAGAGTTGAGATCCCAGGGCAAACCAGTGCACCCAAATTGGATAGGCAACACAGAGTCATGATTTGTGAATAGGAACCTCCAGGGAAACTGGTGCAGGTAGGAAACCTGAACAGAAATGGACAATTTGACAAAAGCTCAGTGTGGACAAGTCTGAGCTATAAAAATGACAGGAGACCTGTCATGGAGGCTCATAAACGTTTGAGGGCGGGTTTTTTTCCTTTTACCACCAGAAGTGTGATGAATCCCACAGTGAACATTGGGGGAAATCTCTCTATGCTTCTGGCAGGAGAAAGGGAAAAGAAACTTCTGAAATATGTCAGAGCACTATTCCTCATAAAGCTGTTCTCTAGAGAGATGGCCTTGCCAGAGCCTGCCTGACCTGAGCAAGGAAGCTCCCAGCCCAGCACTCTGTTCTCTCTGACCTTGTGAGGGCCCAGGAGCACAGGCTTATGGTGCTGCATGCCTCATTGCACAGCCAACATGGCAGCACTGAGGCATGGGTGCCACAGCTCGCTTACCCAGCTTGTCACATCTGCCTTTTAACAAAGACCTGTAAGACACTGAAAGGAGAAAAATGCAGAGTGGAGAGACTGAACAAGCATTAGAATGAGAGTCATAACTGGCAAGAGTGTTGGAATTACCAGATCAGGGATTTTTTTAAAACTAATATGACTAATGCTTTAGT